GGTCAAGTGCCATTGGAAGGGTCATGAACACAGCGTGTAGGGGTCAGAGGCTAAACTGGGAGGGTTTCCTCCCTGGTTAGAATTGGAGCCCTGGAGTAGGGGGTGCAGGGTGTGCAGATCTCCAGGGTTGGGTCCCCTGGGGTCTCCGGGTCCCCTCCTTCCTTCCTGGAGGACTGGTGTCAGCAGGGAGAGCTTAGCTCCCGTGTGGGGATTGGGCATGACCCTCTGCAATGGGGTGTCCTGTGCGGTGTGGGCACCGCGGGTGACCGATGTGAGCGGCTCCTGCTCTGCTCCTTGGCCTGTTGTTCCTGGAGAGGCTCTCGCTGCCCCGGGAGTCCAGTGTGGGTGACACTTAGGACTTTTGTCCTTTGGCCATACCTCTTTCTGCTGGCAGCTTTCCGTGTCGTCACCCCCAAGCAGGTGTCACTTGACCGGATCTCTGTTGCGGTGCGAGAGGAGAATATCAGCAGTGCCACTGGTGATGTGGCTGCCATGTGGCTGCCCAGGGCTCATCTGTGTTGCTCAGGCAGGTATTTGCGGCTGGGGCCTCTTAGTGAACCCCTCCGCCCCGGGATGGTGGGGCGTGGGGGTCTCCAGTTCAGGTTTTCCTTTTGTGGGCTCTGCTGTTGCCGTCAGTGTGGTCCTGTCCTCAGGGTAAATGCCTCGTAAGTCCTTCTGCGCTGGAGGGACATTGCATATTGTAGCTTGTAAGTTACATGTTAGCAGGAAACGGGGTGCAGAGTATGAGCCACTGGACATTGCTTCTGGCTGGTATCACCTGGGTGGTAAACTTTTAAGCACCTGGCTGGTAAACTGGGTTCCCCGATCCCTGTGAAGTTTGAGAGGTGTTCCCCAGGTAGGGATATCGTTCTCTCACAGTCTGAAGCCATAGGGAAACACTGGGCTTCTGTCCAGTGAGATAACATATAAACCATGGCTAAACTGTATTCATGTTTACGAGAGAGGGAGCTGTGTGACATCCATTTGTGCGAGCCAGCTTCCCTGGGGTTGTCCTTGGACCGGTGGAACCTGCGAGGTTGTCACTTTTGTGACTTTATTAGTATTTCTCCACTCATAGTCGTTATCGAACACTATTAGGTTGTTGGAGGCCACTGCTCTAATGTCCGTCCACTGGTGAGTAGCGCATATTATAGTGTCTCTGGATATTGCTGGACTGGTATTTGTCCAACCAGAGTTCTCTTTTTACTAAAGTCACAATTATTAGATTTCCATCGATGCTTTTACATTTCTGGGGAACATTTTTGGACACCTCTGTTCAGTTTCTCTATGTTATTATTTGGGAGAACATGCCTTTGAACTATGACATGAGTTTGCCTTGGTTTCCTAGAGCTGTGTTTCCTTTTTTGTGTTGAAGAATTATCAGCCAAATGGTTTCTTTTGGTCTCCAAGGAGTCAGATCTGGAGCCAGGACCCTTCGTAATGCCAGAGAGGTCAGTTCAAGTGGGGCATCTAATGAATTTGGGACAAAGGAGCCATTTTTAATTGATCCCCATGTGGGTAAGGACATCTTGTCTCCATAGTAGTCCAAGGTCATGAGCTCCCTTACAGGCACGGTGACTGTCCCTATGAACATGTGTGAACGTGTTTTACCCTTGGTGAAGGTGCAGGGCCAGAGGAAGGGCCGATCATTCAGCGTGTTGAGCTGAAGTAGCCCAAAGGTAAAGTGCTGCTCAGTGACCTCAAGGGACTTGCAGTCGCATCCCCAGCACGATATTTACCATTTTCAATTTGTAAATAAGAGTAAACCATAGAACCTGTGCGTGAGAAGCACTTCCTGTTTGCAGGGGGAGTCAGAAGGTGCTGTGTCCGTGCTAAGCAGTCACGAGGGGTTTCACGTGGGTCCACGTGTCATGCTCATTCCCGGATCAGACGCCCTACGTATCGATCCTGAGTTTGAGCAACCCGCAATATTTCTTTAGAGACATTTTGTCCTTTCAAGGCCAAAAGGTGTAACAGGTGGATTCGGGCTTCCTGGGAAGAGGTCTGAGAAGGAGGGCAGAGACCGAAACCGTCTCCATATCATCAGAGAGCAGAGC